TCGACATATATGTTATAACACACTGAATCTATTCATTTAGTCAAAGTTTCTACACCTGCGTTACAGGGATTTTACTTACCCTCCCACAATCTTGTTAAACTTATTTAATCTCATATGCGAGGTCTATTGCAGATGTCTTTGTTTGTTAATTTAGTAAAGTGCAATTTTTTTCGTTTGTCGGAATTCAGAATGAATAACCTGAAGGAGCACCGACTTGCTGTACAATTTTATGTTGAACTTGCTCGTTGAACGTGTTCATCAGGAGTACCTTTCCCAAGGCCCTACAGTAAACCAGACTTACTTCTGTATGTATACATTTAAGTTCTGAAACGTCTGAGGTACGCCATCCGTTGCAAAAGGCCAGAAAAGTGGAGGAGTGGCGACTGGTCTTTCCATCACGACAACGCTCCAGCCCTTACTCAAATACTTGATCACAGTTCTTCTTTATCCCCTCTACTCACCTGACCTTGCTTCTTGTGACTTTTTTTCCACAAACCTTAAAAGGAAAAAGATTTAAGACGATTCCCGAGAGTCAGGCAAATACGACGAAAAAGACATTACAAAAGAAGCGTGCCAGAACTGTTTCAACAAGTGGAAACACCGTTGGGATAAGTGTGATCGTTGGATAGTAATTTCTAAATAAATTATATTTTGTTTTATGACTTCATTCCGAGTATTTTTTTTTAATAGGCCTCGTATAGCACTATGCAAACTTTAATATAGTATTGCATTAACAAAACAAATAAACATGTAGCGGACAGAACGCTACAATTTATTTTATACAAAATATACATACATTAAAATGTTTGACACAAGTTTCATTTTATAAACTAATATTTAAATAAATAAATTTAATTTATACTTTTTACTTAAAAAGGAAATTTTAATGTTTAATGTTTAATGTTTTTTTATTAAAAAATACTTAATCGGTTTAAATTCGTTTTTTTATTACATAAAATGGTTAAAAAGCCAATTTAAAATAAAATCAAATCAAATAAAAAAAATTGTCAAAATTTTTTCTTGATCTTCTGCGATTTATTTAAAAAACAAATTAATTTCCCTGGACTGGGAATAAGAAATCGGATGATTTGATTACATTTATTCGACTCTCAAGGGAAGGGAGGTGCCCCCTGCGCCCTTGGCGACGCCCATGCTTAAGCCTGACCTATATATAAGAATATTTTATTTAGAAATTCTTATATTAAGTCACCTACTTTCGTTTATAAGATTTGTCTTTTCAGATGTATTACACCTGTTTTTGTATTTACATAAAATATTCTCGGCAAAAATTTTAAGACATAAAAGCAAATTCATATTTAAATAAAATATTACTATATATAGTAAATAGAAACAAATGTCATAATCAGATCTAGGACATATATCTTTTTATAGAGTGAATTGGATGTTTCTCAATCTTTTTTGATGGCATACATTTTATTTTTCCACTTCCTGGTTGTAATTTCTTGAAAACCTGATGTGATTTTAATTTTGCACGTGAAGAACCTTCGAAAACATATAATGTTGTTTTTGTTTAATTTTAAAAAATGTTTTAGTTTATTCTGCAGTGCAGAATCTGTAGCCTTTGCGAAAAAGTAGATATGTCGAAAATAACAGCACTATATCTTTAATCGAGTTTTTATGTTAACTTTTTCCAACAATGGGTTTAATTTAATCTTTTAGCCATTGAAGTTTCCACTTGACTCGATTGTACACGATTTCTTAGACACCAATGTGTTATTTAATTTTTTTTAAGAGTGCAGAATAGTTAAATCTAAAAGAAATGAAAAAATATTTAGAGCTTCCAAACTTGATTTTTTTTTTATTTTAGATTGGTATAAAAAATCCCATTGTATGAATACTCATACTTCCCTTTTTTTGGGAGCAATCAAGAAATGTCTCTGGACGCTTATTTTTCTGGACGCTTATTTTTCTATGGCGCTTAAGGAATATTATTTTCTCATTTTGGCATTGCCATGCCAAAATTACTAGAGGAGCTGGTTTTTAGTATAATCCAATTTTAAAAATTATTAATCAAAAAGGTGTTTGTATTTTTAAAGTTTGCTTGGATAAACTATTCTACAATACACGTGTTAACCCCATTAATATTGTGCCACATGCGTATTTAAATGATAGTGTTAACTCACATGTATCGTAAATGTCTATTCGTCACTAACACTAACAGTTATGGAATTCCCCAGCCAAAGAACTCGTATTCAACCAAAAACATAATTTAAAAAATATGTGGGATTCCCAGGCTACTTCAGTTCTGCTTATCAGCCTCCATATTAACGTTTTATGAAGCTTTACGTGAAAAGCGAGAAGAAAAGGACTGGCTTTGTTTCTTAATTTTCTAAATTTGTTTTTTGGGGTTATTATTAAGATAATTCAATTTATTAGCACTTTTCCTAACCGAGACATAAAAACGGTCTCGCAAAGCGGATTTCACCGACGTTCACGTTTGGTTTAGCTTTGCCGCTTATCAGAAGTTAATAAGATTTTATTTCATTTTATTATAAGGTATAACAAAGACGAATAATTTTTTTTGTTGAGAATTTGCTTATAGGTACTTTTAAACCTAAATACGGTTTTATTATAATATATGCTTTTAGAAAGGCCTCAATATTATTGAGTCAATGTGCCAACGTAATAAAAGTTAGCTTCTGCAGACAAACTTCAATATAAAATTTTGTGGCTCAAAGACATCCCTTAAAGTTTTACGACGAAAGATCGTTTGGTTTATAACTTATTTAAGACTTAAGATTTTGTTCATTTAAGCTTTCCCCATCCTGTGATTACTTTTGGAGTTTTGAAATCATTTTAATAGATGAACCTAGTACCTTATTTTTTACGTTGGAAAGTTGACATACTTTTGGATATGAGGGGTCTAATTTCAATTACAGCAAACTCCAATATTTTTATTAGCAAATTAAAAGTAGACAATGTTTTTGACTGATTAATGGGTGAGTTTTGGACTTTCATTGTCTTTATGTAATTCCGTTTTCCGGGACATCAGAGAACATAAAAAGAGCAGCTAACATGTACATGTGCACACCTAGGTTATTTTAGGCGTCGTCAAAATGTCGTTTTAAAAACGTTATTCGCGATGACGTTAAAAATTGTGACGAACATTAGACGTATTTGCAGGACGTCGTTATTACATCTGAAGTCCTTCTTTGGTCATGCGATGTCGCTGACCATGGTCATTGCAATGATTACCAAATAATGACGTCAATTAGACGGCAGTCTGTTTGATGGGTTGTGTATTTTCTGTAAAAAATTATAACCAAATAATAAAAACTTTTAAGCGTACAACAATTTTCATATTAAGATTGATAACTCTATATAGAAAGACTTTATATTAATAAAAATTAAATTATTATTAAACTCCGTACAAAAATAAGGCTAAAATGTCATCAGGTCAGTTGAACCTAAACTAAAAATGTGCAGGAATCTTACGAAAAAAGGCTTATTAATTGCCTCGCACAAAATATAGGTACTGCCTCGGCAGTAAAATATAATATAATATTTTATCGTTTTATAGTAATATATAATCCCAAAACATTAAAATAAAGAAAATAAAATTAAAATAAAATTATAACTCAAAGAAATAATTGTTGGAAATTTATTTTGAAATTTTTTATACTTTTTTATACCAAATAAAATAGTATGTTTACTAATTTAAAATGTCTACTTCATAAAATTATTAATTAATAATAGCGACAAATCTACATTAAAAAATATGCCAATACTATGCTAATGGCTATGGCAACAAAAACTTTTTGTAATAGGTGTTTTTATGCCAAAAATAATTTTCCTTTTAGTATTCGCATTTTAATTTACTATTTTTTTTCTTAAATATTTTTTTAAACCAGTTTTTTGTTGTATTAATTAAAATTATTAAAGTACTTACGACTTTTATCTGGGTCTTTAAAAATAACTTTTTTTATTCATACCTTTAAAATGCCCATTTCCGGCGCTTTAGTCACGGGCTGAAGTTAGTTTTTAGTTGATAGTTGTCAAATGTCATACAACCGTTAAAATTAAGTTCCCTTCCTGTGAAATAATACTAAATTTAAAAATTATTGTATTATCTTAATACGAAAATTTAAAAGTATTAATTAGTTTCTCAACGCCAATATTTAAAAAGTTTATACTGACATTTTGATTTCGCTTGGCTGCATGGTCAAATTTAACGGATAAAGCATTAAAAATTAAGTGTCCATAAAATATTATCTTTACTTTCACTGCAAAAAACTGCTTTTATATTGTATTTAAACAGTTGTTAGTCCATTTTAAGGGATGTACTTCGATCTACCTAGAAAAATTTTACATTTGCCGCCGGTACTAAAGATTCCCATTACGGTTACTCTATTTTTGTACTATGTACCATGTCGCTATAAAAAAGTATTTAATCTAAGTAATTGTTAGATATTATAAGTATTTGGCGTATGCAACTCGTTTATAAACTTTTCTAGACACCCATTTAATTAAACACTCGCTCGCAAGCTCGCTGATATCTAATTTAAATTCGTGAGTAAAATGGCGTTTATTAAACTCGATACATAATATAATATTAAGCTTTAAAATATTATTAATACAATTCACTGAAATATAAGACAAATACCGTTTGACAAGATTTCATATATTTGTAGGCAAAAAAATGTGACCTGATTTTAAAAAGGTAGAATTAATAAAGTTTGACTCTGGGGCACAGATATAATTTTCCGTGTAGCTAATAACATTGTGGACAAATTTTTCAACCAGAATATTTTTTTTTATAAAAATATGATTTAAAAATCTTTTAAATTAAATTTGCCTGATATTTACATTTTATTACAAATAAACGGTACTGCTAAAAATACCTTATTCAGACTCTTAAATGATAAGTTCTTTAAAGAGTCCCTAAACTTTTTTATTATTTTTTTATTCAGGTTTATTATAAATAATACATTTTTCCATAACCGATTTTATAAAATTAAATAAAATGTTTATTTTTTTCAGGTAATAATTCGTATACACCAACTGGAATAGAAAATGTAAGTAAGCTTGTAAAATTAGTATAATAAAATTATAACTACCCATTATAAAAATATCCATTTGATTCATTTCCATACATAAAATTTTTAAGCATAACGTCGTCATCCAGTTCTCTTCAGTGAATGTGGAATAGTTCGATAAAAAACTTTTATGCCAAATCACGAATTTAAAATTAGTTGTTTTGATATTAAAATGCTGAAATAGTGATTGTAAAGAAAAAGAAAATGTATTACAAAAATTGTAAATATTTAATTCTTTGATGAAATCACATAATTAGTCTCAATAGGCTTACCTACCTGTTGAATAAAAAACACTTAAAATCCAAAACGTTGCATATTTGTTACTGCTATTAATTTAACAGGATTTAAACAGTTACTCCTTTTTTTACTTTAGCTCATCAATGTTATTTTTTATATTTCCCCAAAAAAAATCCAGCGGTGGTACCTTGCCGTTCTAGCCACCTACCTGCAACAATTATGTCCAGATATTGGCGAACAATAACAGAGTAGTGTGCCGGGGCCCCATCATATTGAAGCCTCTTATTGGTCAAGTTACAGTCCAAGGGATTTGAGAATAACTGACAAAATTGGCATTACTTCGTCCTGGAGAAAACTAAGGTATCATACTTCATTAAGATTGGCATCAAAGAAAAATTGTCCCACAACTCAATAGTGTATTATACCAGCCCGTCCATTAGTTTTATGTGAGCGCTAAGTATGAATTTTCCTTATCCAAGGGTTTTTTTTTATGCGCAATAACGACAATTTTGGCGATTTACCTTCCCATTTAATGTAAAAGTAACCTCGTCCGAGAAAAGTATTCATGAATCATCTTTAACTCCTGAACGGCTTCCATTTTATATGGGTGTTTTTTCCTGTGTTTGGGTATTTTTAAAGATGTCTTGTGATTAAGATCATGATTACGAGCTAAAGTGTGTCTCGGTACATTCCTGACATGGCCCGTCTCTCGATATCATACTAATGGTAGCTTCATTGATGGGTGGCAAGTGGGGATGTGTTTCTCAAAACGGATGGACAACCTCGCATTAAGTTCTTGTCCTATCACCATATCCAAGCATCATCAAAATTTAAATTTTAGAGATTCACTTAAATAAGGCTTTTTTAGAAATTTGCAATAATTCGTTTCTCTGAATACAGTATACAAACTAACTTGCAGTGTGTAGCTGTGTAAAAACACTAGCAAAAAGTAGCAGTTTCAGTTGTGGCAAATAATTTTACACCTCTTGAAAAATATTAAATGTGATTAGCTAGATTCGTCTTTCTGTCACCTTTCCAATAAGGGGCTAACCTCCATATTAATGCATTTGAAAAAATTGGTGGTGGTTTCCGTTCTCCTTGAAGAGCTACATTTCGCATATTGCTTGAAAAAAAATACATTCAAATGTTGACGTGTCCTGGGAATTTTCCGAAAAATTATTCAGCACTCCCGTACACTGTTCAAAATTTCATGACCATTTTAACACAAAATTAACACCATACATGGTTTAAATTTCGCGGGTTTGGAGAGTCCAGTTGTCATAAAATTGTTTTTATTATGTTGGGATACATACCCCTGAAGAATGATAAAAATGTTAAATGTTTTCATTGTTTACTTTGTCTGTGGCAGCCGCTAAGGTTAGACGTGTTTTTATGAGCTCGGCGATTTTCGTTCGTTAAAAGAAATGGGATCAAAGAGTTTGTATCAAATTGTGCGTAAAAATGAAATAAAGTGTGTGAAATGTTAAGAAAGGCATATGGTGAGTCTGCTATGAGTAAAACAAGAGTTTATAAGTGATATATGAGTTTCCAAGATGGCGGTAAAGACGTTGAAGATGACGAACGCCCAAGCACTTTAACAACCGATAAAAACATGGAAAAAGTGGAAGAAATGGTTATGAACGATCACCGAATCACAATCAGAGAAGTCGCTGATGATGTTGGCATATCGATGAAATTTTTTCGAATGTTTTAGGTATGAAACGCGTGGCAGCAAAATTTGTTCCAAAATTGTTGAATTTTAAACTCAATTTTTTGCCAAAAACAAGTCTGTAATGATGCCCCAGCCTACATATTCGCCAGACATGACTTCTTCTAACTTTTTCCTATTTCCCAAAATAAAGAGAACCTTAAAGGGACATCGTTTTGCAAGCATAAATTACATTAAAAGCGCATCGCTGAAAGAACTAAAGACCATCCCAAAGATCGTGTTTGAGAAGAGTTTAGAAGATTAGAAGAAGCGCTGGCACAAGTGCATAATATCTAATGGAGACTATTTTGAAGGCGACAACTTTAATGTAGACGAATAAATAAATATTTGTTTCAAAAAACGAAAATTCCCGTTATTTTCTGAACACACCTCGTACACCGTTTTGGTGTTTGCTGTATATAACATTTTCAACCATAATTCATGGTGTTTATATTAATACCACTTGGTGTTGGATTTATACACCATTTTTAGATTACCCTTTACACCACAGATATTTAAGTCTCCACCCTGTATATCCTTACATTAATTGCGTTCTTTTTTACTGAGATTTGCCAGCTGCACTATAAAGCAAAAATGACTTATTTACAATATTAATTATAGCAGATAAGGCAGCTGCACTTAAAACTTCAGCTCAAAGATCTTACATATTGGTGACGAAAAGGCCAAATTATAAAAACTCAACTATAGAAAGATTAGCCATTGGATGGGCAAAAAATATATAAATTTAAAAGAAACGTTTTAAAGCCCTATTTTAAAAGATTGGTTGCCAACAAACTCTCCAATAATTGTATTTTCTCTACAATATTTTAATGCAATTACTTAAGACCCTATTGTATAAAAAGAAGCGGTAATTTTAGTATCGCAATTTATTTAAATGAATCTCCTTAAGATTTGTTAAAAAATATATAATCTTAAACTAGTAGTTAATATACATTGATATTCCCAGCGATAAATGGGAGTGTTGTTTTATTAAAAAAAATTGTTTGTGCCTATACGCACACTATTGCACACAATTAAAGTAAAACTCCCACTGACGACTTACTAATTAGTAACTGACCAGTTACTGATTAGTTACTGATAAGCTACTCCCTATTTACTAGTTACTTACTTTTTAATGACTATGACTAATTATTTACTGATCAGTTACTATTTTTAATTTTATTAAATGTTTACCCTTCTTTTTGTTTTCTCCTCGTAAATACTCATGTCAAGGAGGTTTGTAAAGAAATAGTCAATCCATCATACGGCGATCGCCATATTGGATTTATTTATTTCCATATTTCTCTCTTACTTATACCTAGCCACTTCAATTAATAATGGAAAATCTTCAACTTCTCTGCTGATCCTAAAACACCTTTTAAAACATATCTTTGATATTTGTATAATAAATGACAACCTTTGCGACTTTATGCTCTCCTGATGCTTAAAACCGTTTAAAACCCGTCTTTGATGTTTTTTTTACTTTGATTTATCAATTTAGATTAATTATTTTAAAATGTTTATTTAATATAATTTGGTTTTATAGCAACAATAAAATATTTGGAAATCGTTTAGCAGAACAATATAAATTTGGGTTAAATTTATTTTTACAGGAATACAAATCTATCATTAAAGAAATAATTGAAAAAAAAACTGCAACCTTCTGGCAGATTGATTGATTGTAACGGATATGGCTCAGTGCAAAATGCTTTATTTAATGAAAGAATGAAAAATTTTTATTGCAGATGTTTCCATGCGTTTCCAATATTACCTAAGCAAACAATTGTTTCCTAAAACGTATTTTATAAGCAATTTACTATAAAAGAAATACTTAATCTTTTACTTCAAACTATTATATATTTTTTTATTCCAAAGAAATATTTTTTGTCAAATAACCAATAAATGTTTTAAAGTTACAAAAACAATTTTGGTTGTGGAAAAAAATACAAATGGATATATAAAATATGCCACCAATAACACAATAACACAAATAAAAATACAATTATGTCATGCGCTTGTAAAAAGAAATATTGTACCTAAATCGCGCGAAAAGCGTCTTTTCCGCACTCGACTGATGACCAACGGCAGTCGCGTGCAGAAAAGTTTTATTTTTCGCACTAGTTAGTTAAATAACTATATTTTTAATTAAGTGCACTGAATAAGGTTTTGGCTGTCTGTAACAAACTAGCTCTATTCCTTTCTTTTCGAGGCGGGACATCATTTCATAGCAACGATAGGTCCTGCTGTATGGTATATGAAAAAACGAAAAACAATATTATAAAAGAATTTATTTAAAATAAATTATTTAAAAAACATCAACAATATTATAAAAAACAAAAAAAATGTATCACAAAAACTTGAATAAACCATATAACTTAAGGATTAAAATAAAATAATATTTAGTTATAATTCAGTCAAATAATAAACTAATCCAATTGGTTTTAGAACACTACAAGATAAAGTTTATAGGTATATGCTCCGCGGCGTTTGAAAATAAGGAAGTCAGGTATAATGGGTAAGGTGGAAGAATATTTTGAAGTTTATTTTGCTGGACCAAGTCCAAGTCCAAATAATCAAGCTGAATCTCGCCTTTTCATAAATAATAATACTTACTGCCGATGATATATATTTTTTTCTACTCCCACCTTTAAAACGTCCTTTATTGTACATGTTTCCATGACACTAAGTGACCTTTTAAATACACATTGACAAGTCTCAATACAAAAATACGAAAGTACTCTCTGTCCACTCTAAGTTGGCGGAACTAAGGAATTTTGTAGTTTAAATATTAAAGAATTGTCGTACTGGGTGCTTTTAAAACATATTTTATATTATAAATAATACTAGTATATAATATATACTAAAATCTGTTTTAAAAGCACACAGTACGACAATTCTTTAATATCTAAACAACAAAATTCCTTAGTTCCGCCAACTTAGAGTGGACAGACAGTAAATAGTTTCTAAACGCCAATATTTGAAAAGTTTATATGAACATTGGGCTCGGACTTCACTGTAAAGTGCTCATAAAACA